GACTTCGGGTAAGAGATGGAGATTTAATGATAACTGGTCTATTTGATTTTCATTTTCAAAAAATAGTTTTTGAAATAAAAAAATTTGATTTAGAAATAATTGCTTTGAAAAATGATTCTGAAAATAATAATTACTTTTTCGAAAAAACTAAAAACGCAGAACAATTTAAGAATGTTCTCAATTTTTTTTAATATTTGCAGTGGCAATTTTATAAATATATGAATTTATTAATGTTATTTTTGTAAATAAATTTTTTTTATTTTAAATTACTTTACTAATGATATTTTTATGAATAATTATAATTTTTTTATAACTTTAAATCTGACTATATTTAAACAAGTTTTATTATTTTTATTTTTAAATTCAGTTTTTTAAAATTTATATTCAAAATATTTTTTTAAAATATATAATCAAGCAGATTGAGAAATATATAGTTTTATATTTTTTAAGAAATTGTCAAAAAAGCACGGAATGGATTTGACATTACGCTGCCAAAAGCAAAAAGGATTTTAACTTTGGGAAAAGTGTGTATAATTTTAAAGGATGTAAAGTTGTGTCATTTTAAGAGAGAGAAAGAGATAGATTAAGGAGGAGAGAGAGTTGACAAAAAAAATAAAGGTGTAGGTCCCACATCTTTATGAGAATGAAAGGATGTAAGTTGTATAATTTTAAATGATAGACACTTTTCCCTTTAACTTTTAAGGCCACGTGAGTTTTATGGGCTTGTCCAAAAATTGCTAAGACAGAATGGATTTGACATTATGCTCCCAAAAGCACGGCGTCGGTGAATAAAAAATTTAAAAGTAGTTCATGTATTTAGTTATTTTTATTTTTAAATGTTTATGTTGTAAAAGTAATTTTGAGATAAACAAATTATTGTTTTACTTTTTCGAAAATAATTAAATATAGACATGAAATTCCTAAAATTTCAAAAGTATATTTATAACTATCATTTAAATAAAATTAATTTTTAAATGATATTGATTCTAAAAACAATTAATTCTTTTGTATTTTTGTGCCTTGGAACAGTTTCTGAGAAAAAAACGTGTTTGATAATATATTCTATTTATTTTTGTTTTGAGAATGAGAATTGTGTTTGATAACACAACAACTAATAAAATAAAAAATCATTTGTATTAAGCATAATTTATTTTGGATCATCACTTTCCTTTTCATATGGTGTGGTGGTGGTGGCGGTGACGTCGTATTAGTGGTGATGGTAGTAGTGGCGGCGGTGACGTGGTGATAATAACGGTGGTGGTGGTGGTGACGACAATGGCTGCGATGATGGTGGTGGTGGTTGCTGACAGTGGTGGTGATGTTAGTGACGATGATGGTAGTGGTGGTGGTTGGTGACGATGGTGGTGGTGATAGTGATGATGGTGGCGGTAGGTGGAGGCGAAGGTGGTGGCGGCATCGTAGTAGTAGTGATACGACAATGGTGGTAGGATGATGGTGACGGTGGTCGTGTCGGGATGGTGGTGGTGGTGATGTTGGTAGTAATGGAGAATGATTGAGAGAGACAAACATTTCTCATTTTGTGCCCGGGAATAAAGAAGCAGAATTTTTTTTGATTCTTTTTTTTGTTCTCCAACGTAAAAATTAAACCAGTTCATTCCTGGAACAAAAAAATAAATCAGTTTTACCAAACGAGATTTCTCTCTATTTATGTTACTGAGAACAGAAATTAAAAAAAAAAAATTCGGGAAGGTTGTCATGCACACCTTAAATATGTTTTTTTTAAAGCCTGAATCTGTTTAATCTGACTATATGTTATAGGCTGAGCCTGGCCTAATGTACGCGAGGCCACCTAGCTCATTTACAATCCTACTTGTTACTTACCTTTTTTTTATTTCCTTTTGGTTTTGGCACTACACTCCTACATCTCAAATCAATAGGCATTGATCTATGATAGCATCAACTTTAATCAAGTTATTAAATTTATAAGAGCCATATGTTGGAAATCGATAATCGCGCAAAACACACAAATCGGAAAACGAAAAGAGAAAGGGAAGAGAAATTCACACAGAGGTTTATCTTGGTTCACCCAATATAGGCTACGTCCAGCTCGTCTGTATTATATTCACTTCACCACCACTCGTTACAAGTCACTCAGTTTACAAGGAAGTATAAATATGATTTAGAAAATCTTAACAATACCTATTCATCGGCCTAAGCCCAAATTATTAAGAAAAAATAAACGCAATGACTCAGCAATGAGTAATCAACGAGTCAGGAATCCCGATCACAGAACCAAAGATCTTGATACTAATGTTGGAAATCGATAATTGCACAACACACACAAATCGAAAAATGAAAAGAGAAAGGGAAGAGAAATTCACACAGAGGTTTATCCTGGTTCACCCAATGTAGGTTACGTCTAGCTTGTCTGTACTATATTCATCTCACATCCACTCGTTATAAGTCACTTGGTTTACAAAGGAATATAAATAGGATTTAGAAAGCCCTAACAACAACTATTCATGGGCCCAAGTCCAAACTACTAAGAAAAAATAAATAACGACTCAGCAATGAGTTAGAGGCTCATATTGTACCAGGTCTCTACGAGACCACAATTGGCTTTTTGCTGATCCCGCCAACAAGAGTCCTCATTTGAATGCGAAGTATGCGGCATACCCAATACAATTAACTTAGCCAAGGCATTAGATTAATGAATTATTGATTCAATTAGTGAAGTATTCTCATAAAATAGGTGGACCAATTAGGGACATTGACCATACTACCCATTTTTTGAATATAATATACCAGAATGTCACAGAGTCAGAATTTTTTTCTAAACTGCCACGACACTATAATCGTTGAGGTAGTTAGTTACTATGGATGGGACACGTGTCATGTCCCCAGCGGCTTGCAGGTTTGGTTGCACCAAAATAGCTACCTTAGATAGCGACTTTGGGTTGAATGAGTTGCTTGTCCAGTCGTTGTGGACGTGACACGTGTCAAGTCCATAGTAACTGACTATCTCAGCGACTATAATATTATGGCAGTTTGGAAAAAAATTCGACTCTATAACATTCAGGTATATTATATCTAAAAAGAGATCAGTACGGTCAATTTCCCGACCAATTATTAACAACCATCACCTTTTCTCAAGATTATTGATTGTTGCTGCTTTCTCCTATCCCCCTCAACAAATGGGTGGATGAATCTCTCAATACAAACATCAAACAAGTAAGGGGACAAGGGGTCACATTGCCCGATACCTCTAGTCGTTTGAAAGATTCTTGTTGGACAACCATTCCATACGACATTTAGTGTAGCATATAAGACACACTCTATGATTAATTGCACCACTTTAGGCAGTAATCTAGCTTCATTTAGGGGACATTTGGTAGAAGATAAATTTTTTTTATCCGAGAATCTCAATTCTCAAAAATATAATTTTTACATTCAGTTTACAATAATATTTTTAAATTAAAAATTTAAAAAAATTCAGTTTCTAAAAAATTTCCGAGAATCCCGCATACCAAATGGGCAAATGGGCCCTTAAAGTCTGTTCAAGAAAAGCCCAATCCATCCCATGGTACGCTATCTCAAGTCCACCTTGAAGGCCATCTAAATCTTCTTGCATTTCTTAATCCTCATTGAGTGTATAATTTCCTGACTAATCACTATATTATGTGTATAATTTCCTGGGTAATCACTATATTATTTGAGCTACGCCTACCTCTAATGAAGCTTGCTCACGATGGGTTCAAACATACTAGGAAAAAATGTATTACTTGAAAAGCGCAATTGGCTGGTAGTACCGAGCTCGCAATGAAAAAATAAGTCATAAAAAGAAAGGGCCATATATTTCCAGAATGCTATCATATATTGCTTTCACCAAGTAAGTTCGTAACTAACGAGAGTTGGTAGTTATTAATTTTGTTATCATTTTTAATTGCTTTTGTGGGTTATATTATTGAATTAGGTGCTCTGTTTTGTATTACGAATCTAAGAAGATTCATATCTGATATGCAAATTATTACTTATCGCACTAATCAGTTGTACTTTTGTAATCAATATCTCAATATATAATATCATATGGTTGCAATTACTTAATTATAATACGCCAATTTGAGTTTGAATGGTTTCCACATAAACTACCAATATTTATACAATAGGTTATACTTATAAGTTATCACCAATATTAGATCAAAATTAAATCATTAGCCCTTACTTATGTCATTCGGTAACTATTGATTTAATTTTGATCCAATCATAATAAGATTAGTGGTAAGGGATGGTAAGAAAAAAAGTGATAAATATAATTTTTTCCAATAATATAATATCATTTAAATCTTAAAACCAAAAACAAAATTATACATTTGTTACTTTTTTTTACAGGTATTCCTTGTTTAATTAAAACAAATTCTCTTACCTTTTAAAAGTAAAATTAAAAAAATAAATATAGTCTTATTAGGCTGCTTATTAGCACACAACATAATATTCACAATTTTTTGGAAATCTTTATGTCTGATTTGGCTTCTCCTTACTTAGATCCTCTCACCTGAGGATATTTTGGGTCAGCTGTAGAGTTGATCACGCAAGATAAAGTCACCATTTTTTTTAGAGATTAAAATAAATTGTGTATTTTTATGAAGGGTTCATTTTTTTTTTTGTAGTTACTGCAAATAAATTATCTGCAATAAATTTAATACAATGTTACTTTGGAGAAAAAATTATGATTTTTTATAATTTTAATTTATTTTAAAATTATAATAAATTTTATATTTATAATTTTGTAAGATTTTAATACTAAAATAATATCATTTTGGATGAATAAACATTTTTCACTCTTATGAAAGACGCAAAATAAAATTCAACAGAAGAGAAAAGTCACCAAGCTCGAATGATTGCCGCCACGTCAACAACATACAAGGTCAGTTATGTTCTAAGCGTTGATCAACGTTTCCAACAATGTCGCAAGTTAATCATCGCCGTCAAATTAATCAATCAAACAGCTCATAATCAAAGTCATAAGCGTCTGAGTCTTTTCCCTGTGACCTTCCCTTCTCTTTCTTTTTCTTCTCCCTTCACTTCATCATGTTCCAAATTCAAAATTGAATACGAAAGTAAAATACACACTTTATATTTAAATATTCAATTGTGAATTACTTTCTTCACCCATAGATCAAGATTCAGCATGAAGCATACTCTAGTAAGGTCAGCAGCACGAGCTCTGCTTGGCGGTGGCCGGAACTACCACCGCCACTTCTCAACGGCGGCGATCGTAGAGCCGAGACACCAGCATGGTGGCGGCGCGTTTGGAAGCTTCTACTGGAGGAGGATGTCGACCCTGCCAGAGATAAAGGATCAGCAGTCAGAGGAGGAGGAGAAAAAGAACAAGGTCAACGACAACAGCAGCAACAGCAACGCTGTCGTTTCGAGTTACTGGGGGATCTCGAGGTCCAAGGTTCAGAGGGAGGATGGTACTGCGTGGCCATGGAACTGTTTCATGGTAAGGATCGGTCTTTGAATGGAACAAAACAACGGTATATATATGATGAGCATGTTATATATTTTGATGATGTCTGAATATATTTCTATGATGTCTCTCGCAGCCATGGGACAGTTATCGTGCAGATATGTCAATAGACGTGACCAAGCATCACGCACCAAAGTCGTTTACGGACAAGGTTGCTTTCAGGGCTGTTAAGTTTCTTAGGGTTCTCTCAGATTTGTACTTCCAGGTGTGTATTATGATAAGAATTGTACTACAATCAATAAATGTATAAAAGTGACTAATTGAATTCTATTGCTGTTTTCGTTAGTTGTATTTGTACTTGATCATGCTAAATTTAATGTGTAATCACTAGTATCCCAAATTTTAGATTATTATTTAAGTAAAGAAATAATTCAACCAAAAATATTTAAACTTATAAGAAATGAGTTTTCAATGTTTTATATTATATTTAAACTTATAAGCTTGAAACATGAATATTGTACATATTTATTTTTTGATTCTACTTTGTACTGATATAAATTCTATTATAAAGTAAGGTGATGATGATTGAACTCGTGATCCTGTGTTTGATTTGGTTGTTATAGATGACAACTAACTAATTCAACTCAACAGGAATTTAACAAATTTCAATGGTATAGAATTTAAAACACCGACTCACTAGTTCAACATGTTGCACTAAAATGTAAACCTTTCCATGAAGTATGTAAGAAATTTTGATATTCATATGGGTTTGATATGAATTGTACTTTCAGGAGCGGTATGGGTGCCATGCGATAATGCTGGAAACGATTGCAGGTGTTCCTGGAATGGTGGGAGGGATGCTGCTGCACTTAAAGTCTCTAAGAAAGTTTCAGCATAGTGGGGGGTGGGTCAAAGCATTGCTTGAGGAAGCAGAGAATGAGAGGATGCACCTGATGACCTTTGCGGAGCTTGTGAAACCAAGCTGGCATGAGAGGTTGTTGGTTGTTGCTGCACAGGGAGTTTTCTTCAATGCTTTCTTTGTGTTTTATCTCATCTCTCCAAAAGCGGCACATCGGTTTGTTGGGTATTTGGAGGAAGAGGCTGTGATTTCATATACACATCATTTGAATGCAATTGAGAGTGGTAAAGTAGAAAATGTCCCTGCTCCTGCCATTGCAATTGATTACTGGAGGCTTCCCAAGGATGCAACTCTCAAGGATGTTATCACTGTGATTCGCGCTGATGAGGCTCACCATAGGGATGTTAACCACTTTGCTTCTGTGAGTGTCAATTTTGTCTCTTAATAGACATGTTCATCAAACACTCTTTCTATTGTTTCCTCTTAATTTGGTTTAACTTTGTTCTGAATGCTCTGTTTTTCTTCGTGCAGGATATTCACCATCAAGGAAAGGAATTAAAAGAGGCTCCAGCTCCTATTGGTTATCATTGAGTCATTGTTATTGTTTTTAAACAAAAAAAAAAAAAAAAAGTTCTAGCTATTGTTGTCTAAACTTTTAAATTGTGCCTGAAGGTTGAATAAAATGTGTTTTCAGTGTGCATTTTAGAATCAGAAATTTTATTGATATCAAATGCAAAGTATTGATTATTATTATTTTTATTTAGCAAATCGAAGGGACCATTAGGTAACACTAAAAAACCGAACGCGATGTAAAGAGTCATGATTGACTACAAGATAAGTCTCAATTTAACCTGATACTATATATAGTAAACAAATTCATCACTAAACATACTAAATGATTACCTGTCATTTTCTAACATAATTAGGATCTAGGTGCCTTTCGAGAAAGTCATCACTAGACATAAAAATTGTTGCTCCACCGCACAATTGAGCACATATGTACATTGCCCTTACCCCAAAAGAAAGTGAAAATAGGTGCAATTACTTAAAAACTTGTATTTCAAATTGGTATAAAAAAACAATGAGAGAATACAAGTTTGACTACTTATATACAGAGAAGTATGTAATTATGATAAATACACAAAATTATAAGACTAAATACTTTTTTTAGTCCCTAACAAAAAACACGGTCTCCACTTTAGTCCTTTACAAAAATAAATTAGTCAGTTAGTCCCTAACAAATTCAAAGTGGACCTATTTACTTGAAATCATAGTCCCTCACAAATTAAAAAAGACCCATATTTATTACAAAAAAAAGGACCCATATTAGTCTCTCAAAAGGACTAAAATAGGTCAACCTTGAATTTGTTAGGGACTAACTGACTAATTTACTTTTGTAAAGGACTAAAGTGGGGACCGTATTTTTTTGTTAGGGATCAAAAAAAATCTTTACTCAAATTATAATTTGGAATATAAAATTATTTTTTATGCCATTTGTGCAATACGAGAAAAGCGAAAGATGGCCGCCACATTATCTCCAAAAAAGAAGAGATGGTCACATCATTGGTAATAATTTTTTTATGGAAAAAGTGTATATCATTTTAAAGGACGTAAAATTTTGTCATTTTAAGTGAGAAAAAGAGATAGATAAAGTAGGAGAGAGATTTGACAAAAAATATAAAGGTATAAGTCCCACCTATTTGTAAGAGTAAAATGACACAAATTATGTCATTTAAAAGGACAAATATTTTTCCTTTTTTTATATAGGCCATAATTAAGTAACTTTTAAGTTTTACTCCGATACGAAACTGAAATTTACACATTGTTTGTCTTTTTATTATTATAATCTCTTTTATTATATTAATTTTTATTTAGATTTAATATTAGAAATGATCAATGCTAAATAGTAATTTAAACAAATTAATAATAAATTATAATAAATATATTTTATATAACATAAATAAATTTTAAAATTAGAAAAACATCTTTAATTTATATTTTTAAAATTTTATGAATAAACAATAAATAATGTCTAACTTTATATACTTTATTATTTAAATTGGATTAACTCGCTACTAATGGGTAATTGTCCTTCAAGAGTCACCGAGCGATATATTATGGGCCAAGATAAAATGGTGAAAGTGAAAAAAAAAATCACACAGGCCCACCCCGCCCTTTCGTAAATTTATAGCTGTCTTTACCTTTCTACACATAGAACTGTTTAGGGTTTCAGAAAGTTGCACAAAGGGGGGCGTTTCAGTTATCTACCTCTCATTTAGATAAATACTTGTAAGGTGACGATGTTAGGGAAAATGGCATCTACAATATCTGTTGCTATTTCATTCTACTCAGATGGGTACTATATATACTGCTAATTGCATATAACTCGTTTTGCCTTTCTCCGTTGATTGCATCTCTTTTTTTGGCATCGTTTATGTTGTTTAAGTTTACTGTGTTGTTTTGTCTTCAGATGGAAATCGATGATGTCTTATATTTCCTCGCCATCTCTGTTATGCTTTGCTCTATTGTTTGAGCTGATGTGAATTTTCAACGGCTGTGATTTCTTTGATTAAACGGGGTAAGTGTTTGCATCCAACTTATCTTATACGCTAGCATGGTAAATTTATTTATTTATTAATTTAATTTAATTTCATGATTAACATACATTCTAGTTTAGCTTTACGAGTATAATATATGTTAAATGTGTATCTTTTATTTGGACAATGATGTCATTTGCTTAATACTAACTGATAAGTCTCTTAATTGAGACTTAGAACATATGGATTATATTGCAAATGAAGGGAAATGAATTGATTTTGTGAATAAAATATCCCAACTTTGTGTGAATTGTCTTTTGTTGGTTAAAAATATCAATGGGCTGATTTCTTTTGTGTTTTAGGCCCAATTGGTTATGATTCTCTATGCAAAAAGACTAAAGCAAAATTGAGCCATTATTTTGCTGATCAGAAGCCCGAAAATGAGGAAAGAAAGAAAAGACAAATCAGAATTGGAAGAAAAGAAAAGAAGACAAGAAGAGAATGGGCCAGGAAATTTAATCCATCAGCGGCCCAAAGAAGGAAAGAAAAGAAAAATTGAAAAGAAGAAAAGAAAGAGGAGCAAAAGGGACAGATCAGAATCGTAAGAGATAGATCAGAAACAAAGAAAGAAGAAAAAAAACCCTAGCTCTCAAACCGTCCAAAAAAACCCCTTTCCATCTAGACCTTCATCTCAACCGTTCCTTCCAGATTCCCCTCACCAAAACACCCTCTGATTTTCACTCAAGACACAGAACCCTAACCCTCGATCACGGTTCAATTCTTAATCGAACCAACCCACACAAGACCTAATCGATTTTTGGATCAATACAGAAAAATCCAAAAGAGTTGATGAGCTGGATATCGTTAGTGGCTGGAGCTACTTTTAAAGTGTGTTGCTGAATCGTGCAAGGGACACCCACGATCGATGGAAGCAAGGAGCGTACATTTGGGAGAGCTGATTTTGGAGCAGCTATAAGAAAGGGACAAAGGGCATTTTGTAGGACATTCTCTCCCTACCTCTCTTCTCTTCGCTGATTTTATTTTTCTGCTCTTTGAGAATATTTTTAGTTTTTCTGTCTTTATTTGTAGTATTTTTATTTTGTAAATTTTATGAGCACTGTGGTCAGGACTATCGGCTGTTGATAGTTCGTGAGTTTTTTTATTTCCAGTACCTTTTAAAGTTTCTATTTCCATTATGAACACTTGTTGTATTTTAGCTCATCAACCTGTGGTGATGAGCTAATTTTTCTGAGAGTTGGGTTGGACAAAGTACCCAGAACTCACTGCTAGTAGATGATGGTTTAATGTTTACAGGGTTGTTTTTTTCAGCTTGTTTACTGCGCATGTTTATTTCTGAGTTTGTTATGTGATGATCACACATAGTCAGGTCTTAGTGGTGTGAGAGTATTGGGAAATAACTCACACTAGACCCCACTGTGAGCACATGGAAGGTTGAGAGAAAAATCTCTCTCAATGGGTATGGCTTCAGGGATGGAGTTACCCCCATGTAACTTGTGAAAATGGTGTCTCAAAGTCGTAAGACAACAGTAACATAGGGATATGCCAACTGTTGTCGGTGGAAGAAAATTGATGTTGGGAAACAACAATTACTCTAGTATTTTCGTTAAGCTGAAAACATTTTCTGTTTTCTATTAAAGCATCCTAATGACATTTGAGTGAAGGGGAAATTGAAAACCCAACTCATTTCCAAATACTGATTTTAAAACCAATCTTTGTCACTTGTTGAATTTGTTTAACTTCGAAATTATTTTTCTCTTTTAAATCTTAAAAGAAAATCATTAAAAATAAATATTTTACAAGTCTTTTAGTTTAGTCATTTTTCTAGGCAACAGTTCAAAAGATCCTTTCATCAACTAAGATCACTGTTTTAAGAAGAGAAAATTTCCACAAAAACATTTTCAGTACACTAGTTGAGATCAGTAGTAGCATTTAATTTTATTTGTTTTTATTTTTAGTTCTTTTAGCAATCACCAATTTATTTCAAGTTAGAACGCAAAGATCCTTGTGGGAACGATAACTGGGACTCACAAAAGCCCTATATTATTTGTTGTCGCGTATACTTGCACAACTGTTAGCAAGGCAACAAGTTTTTGGCGCCGTTGCCGGGGATCGAGGCGTATATTATTTGTTGTCGCGTATATTTGCTATTTCTGAATTGCTTATTTTTGCTGTTTTTAGTTTAACTTAATTTGAATTCTGTTTTAGGTGTGTTACTGTAGTTCGTGAATATTAATAGCTTAAAACTTTGTGCTGTTCATATTCTGTTTTTTTTTATGTCATTTAAATTTTTTTTTGAGTCTAATAGTTCATAGTTGTTATTTTATTTCATAATTTTGTAGTTAGAGTTTTATTTTAATTATCAGTCTCACTCTGTTAGTGAGTATGCCTTATAAAGCTGCAAAGCTGTGAACTGTCTTGGGACTTTTCTTTTTGCAGGTTCTTGTTTGTTTATTTTTTGCTTGTTTTGCATAAAAATTGGTTAGTAATCTAGGTGTTTTAGCTAAGTCAGGTTTACCTGTTTTAGTTAAAAAGGGTGCATGAGTGCAACTCCACACCCGTTCATAGAATCATTTGACCCAGAACCTTAGAGGACCTTTAGAGTTAGGAGAAGAGCCCAAAGGCAAATCCCAATCCCAAATTTCGAAGAGATGGAGAATGTAGGAAATGGAGATGGAAATGGGAATGAGGACGAAATACAAAGGATACAAAACCCACATGTCATAAATGACAATGATAGGTCCATGATGGACTTCATCATACTTGTGTTGGATGAGTTAGATCCAAGCATAGCTCAACCTGTGAATGGAGTGCCCTTTAAGCTAGAACCGGTGATGTTCACCATGCTCTAAAACATGGGGCAGTTCCATGGGTTGTTGATGGAAGACCCACACAAGCACCTTAGAAATTTCATAGAAGTGGCCAACACTTTTAGGAATCCCAACATCTCGGATGATGTGCTAAGATTGAAGCTTTTCCCTCATTCACTGGCTGACAAAGCCAAAGAGTGGTTGAACTCCTTTCCATCCAACTCCATAACCAATTGGCACACCCTTGCTGAGAAATTCATCATGAAATTTTCCCCCTCCAATAAGATATTGCAAACTAGAGGTGATATTGCTAACTTCATGCAGAGGGATGGTGAGACAT